CTTCCTGGTGGCTAGTCGTCTCAGTCACTCAGTGCCTTGGAATGTAACCCTGGTGTTCTACATAAGAGGATTTCCAGAGGGTCAGATAGATGCTGGTTATTAATGAGCCTCAATTTGCATTTCTTTGCCTCACCTGGGAAAGGCTGAATATTGGGAGGGGGGACTGCTGCTTTCCCCCACAGCTTTGGGAAGGAGCACACTGGCCACCGTCCTTTGTGGCCACAACTCAGCAAAAATTCTGTGTGCCCTCCATATCTCGGGTGTCCCCACTGAATTCCAGCCCTGTCTGCCCTCCGTCTGCCGTAGCCCCCTGGTGAGTGGCTGTGGCTATTTTAGCACTCTGTCCTGGCTCTCTGCACTTTATGCAGGCTTAGTCTATTCTCCACGTGCGCTGCTCACAGCTAAGACTGCTTCTGTCTGTGGGCTCCCAGCTTGCCACCCTCTCACACTTCCGCAGATGCTACCACTGTCCCTGGTTATATGGTTTTATCCTGCTGCTTTTCTGTTACTTTTTTTCTGAGGATTTTCTTTATTTTAGTTGTAATTCCTGTTTGGTCCTGGGAGATCATCTGGGGAGCTTCTATTCAGTCTGCCCCCGTTTTTCACATCCTCTGTGCCTGTCTGGTGGACAGCTGGGTCTCACAGGTCTTCCTGGTGCCCCAGCTCCTTGCAGGTTTCATGGGTAACTGGATCAAACTGTCCCTTTGGGGACCCGGCTCTATGCCTATGTTATGGGGTGCTGGGTCACACAGGCCTTTCTAGTGCTTCAGCACCCCACAGGTCCCATGGGTAACTGGATGGCACAGTCCCTGCTGGGTCATGCAGGCCTCTCTGGTGCTTCAGCATCCCACAGGCACCATGGCTAACTAGATCATGCAGTACCTTCTGGGTCGCACAGGCCTCTTTGGTGCTGCAACACCCAGCATGGGTAACTAGATCACATAGTCCCTGCTCGGTCACACAGGCCTCTCTGGTGCTTCGGCACCCTGCAGATCCCAAGGGTAGCTAGATCACACAGTCCCTGCTGGGTTGCACAGGCCTCTCTGGTGCCCCCACACCCTGCTGGTCCCACAGGCAGGCAGCTGGATTGCACCAGTTTCTTTAGAGCTTCAGCTTCCCACTGCTTTTGTGAGCCCTAGGTCCAGCTTCTGGTGGCTGGGAAGTGCTGCTGCCTCATGGGGCTCAGCTCATGCTCAGCTTTTGTTGTAGTTTTGTGGGATGGGTCTCAGCTGCTGGTCTGTACTTTTGTGTCCTGGGGATGGATGTCTGCTCCCCAGCCTCTGTTGCTGGGGGTATATCTAGACTCTGATTAAGCTACTACTATGAGGGATGGTGCTGGGCTCTGGTCTGTTAGTGGCTTCTGTGACCAGCACCTTGGGAGCTCCACTACTGTGCACTGGTCTGTGTTGACACAGAGTGTGTACTGGCTCAATGGTGCCAGGTGCACTGGTGGGCTCAGGTTGCTGGGCCCTAGCTGTTTCCACTGCCTCCTCCCAGGGAAAACTGGTGATCTTCCAAAATGGTGGGACCGCCCCACAGCGCAGGAGGAAGCACTCTGAAGGGCCTCTTACAGAGGTAGCTGGCTGCTCCAGTCCACACCACAGGAACATTCTGCTCTGATTCTCTGCACTGCTCTGGTTGGTCGTGCACCTTCACGTCCACTCACACTCTCTCACACACTCACTCACTCTCTCACACACTCACCCTCCCTTCGGTCCTGCCTGCTGCCATCTTCCTTCTGAGATGGCATTTTTATTATTATGTGTCTTGGTGTGGGCCTGTTTGGGTTCTTCTTACTTGTGGCTCTCAGTGCTTTTTGGACCTAAATGCCTTCTTTCTTCACCAAGTTAGGGAAGTTTTTTGTCACTATTTCTTCAAATATATTCTGTAACTCTTGCTCATTTTCTTCTTCCTCTTGAACTTCTATGATATGAATGTTGTTTCATTTATAATTGTCCCACAGTTCTCTTAAGCATTCTTGTTTTTTAATTGCTTTTTTCTTTCCGGTTTTCTGATTAGTTGATTTCTTTTTTTATCCTGTCTTCTAAATCACTGATCCAGTCCTTAGCTTCCTCTACTGTACTGGTTAGTCCTTCCAATGTGTTCTTAATTTCTGCTGTCATTCTTCATTTCCACTTGGTTGGTTTTCAATGTTTCTATATTTTTACTCATGGTGCTGATTCCTCACTCATGCTGTTGAGCTTCCTCAAAATCATGGCTCTGAACTCTACCTCTGATAATTTGCTAAACTGCATTTCATTTATCTTATCTTCCAGAGAGTTCTCTTGTTCTTTCATTTGGGATTTGTTTCTTCGTTTCACCATTATGGCTATCTCAGTGGGTTTTAGAGCCTGCCAAATTTTCCCTGTGGGTGTTAGTGTTCTGCTGTTTGTGACTCCCTCTACTGGGTTTGGATGAGCCTGGGCGGGCCCATGTTAAACACAACTGTCAAGTCTTACTTTCCTGGGTAGATTTCCAAGTCCAGGAGAGGTTCAGTTATCCTCCAGCTTTTTGCCTGGAGGCTATTAGTCTCAGTTACTTGATGACCCTTGGGTTGTAGCCCTCAGCTGAATAAAAAACTCCCTCAGGTGTTCTGCGTAAGAAAATTTCCAGTGTGAGGGACTGATGCTGGTTGTTAATGATCCTCAATTTTCATTTCTCTGGCCCAACTGGGTGAGGTTAAATCTCTGAGGGAGGGACTGCTGCTTCTCTCCTGGGCTCCTCCTGGAAGGGCCTCCTGAGCAATGGCCACTGTCCCGTGCTCCTGTGACTCAGCAAAAACTTTCAGCACCCTTCCTCTGCCAGAACCCAAGGTGAGTGGCTGTAGTTAATTTAGTCCCCTGTCCTGGCCTTCTGCATTGTAGAATCAGCTTGGGAATTGAACCCCGAGGGAGCTGCTCACTGCTAAAACTGCTGCGGTTCATGGTCTCCCAGCCTGCCCTCTTATGCGTCTGCAGATCTACCAGGCTCAATTCAGTGTCTTTTTTTTTTTTGTCCCTGGATATATAGGTCCTCTCCAGCTGCTTTTCTGTTGCTTTTTCCCAATGATTTGTTTTTATTTTAGTTGTAATTCCAGTTTGGTCCTAGGAGATGATTTGTGTAGCTTCCATTCCTTCTGCCATCATTTTGAAATTCTCTTCATAATTCTTATTAAGTTGCTTGTAGTTGTCACTAAATTGTTTGAGCACCCTTAAAATCATGGCTTTGAATTCTTTATCTGACAAATTGCTTTTTTCCATTTTTTGTAGTTCCTTTTCTGGTGATTCCTTCTTTTCTTTCATTTGGGTGTTGTTTCTTTGTCTCACCATTTTAGCAATCTGGTAATTCTAGGCCCAGTGAGGGGTGTTGGAATGTGTAGGCAGGTTGGTGTGTATCAAATGAGGGTGCTGTGCCTCCCAGACTATTTTGGTGTATGATGCCTTTTGTCTGCTGTGGGTCCTATTGGACTGACAACTGGCCACTCATATTGGTCTGTCATGCAGGTCTCGGCTGCTCATGTCTTGCTGCTGCTTGGGTTTGGGCACTGATTCTGATCAGCCTTTGCTGATGCTGCTGGGGATGGGTCTCAGCTGACAATCTGCGCTGCTGCTGCCTGTGGTGCGTGGGTCCTGCTGGTGTGTCTCTGGGGTTGCAACTGCCTGGTGGGGCTCAGCTCTTGATCAGTCGCTGCTGAGGGTAAGTGTCAGCTCCTGGTTTGTGCTGCTATTGCTGCTGCTCTTGCCAGAGTGTGCTCTCAGCTCCCAATTCTCTGGTGTTGTTGGGTGCTGAGGATGCTCTGCTCCTGGGACTTTGCTGCTTGTGAGGGAGGGGCTAAACTTTAAATCCACTGCTGCAGTTATCAGGGGCAGGTCTTGGCCACCCGAGTCCTGCTGCTGCTTGGGCTGGGGCACCGCTCCTGATCTCTGCTGATGCCACTGGAGATGGGTCTCAGCTGCTGATCTGTGCTGCTGCTGCTGCTGCCTGGTGATGGATGTCTGCTCCCAAGCCTCAGCTGCTGTTGGGGCTGGGGCTCCACTCCCACCCAGTCACTGCTGCTGTGGGGGAAGGTTCTGAGCTCTGATCAGGCTTCTGCTGTGAGGGATGGTGCTTGGCTCCTGGCCAGTTGTGGCCACTGCAGCAGGCATCTCAATAATGCTGCTACTGTGTGCTGGTTCGTGTTGACATATTGGAGTCCACTGGTCCAATGGTGCAAGGCACTCTGGTGGATTCAGGTCACTCAGCCCTAGCCACCCCCTGCTGCCTCCTCCCAGAGAAGACCAGGGATCTTTCAAAATGGCCACTTCTTTGTGTGTGTATGTGTTAATCCTCACCTGAGGATATTTTTTCCATTGATCTTCAGAGAGAGTGGAAAAGAAGGAGGGAAGGAAAGGAAAGGAGAGAGAGAGAGAGAGGAGAGAGAGAGAGAACATCAATGTGGGAGACATACATATATTTTTCAATTGGTTGCTTCCCACACATTCCCCACCTGGGGCCAGGAATCAAACCTGGAACCCTGGAACCCTGGCATGTGCCCTTGACCAGGAATAAAACCCGCAACCCTTTGGTGCATGGGCTGACTCTCAACCACTGAGCCACACTGGCCAGGGCTGAGCTAGTGTTTGAAGGATGAGTGGGAGCCTGGTAGGGGACACAAGGGAAGAAAACTGCATGGGTAAAGATCTATAAACCTAGCTTGTTTGAAGGATTTCAAATATTTTTTAGTGCAGGCAGCCATGGAGTCAAGGCAAGTTGGAAGTCTTAAGAGCAGTGGCTTTACTTGAGTTTCTGTAACCTTTGGGCTTACTGATGAACTGGGAATTTGTTGATTTCCCAGAGAATATGAACTCAAGGGTGGTCAGAGTGGGAGTTTCCATGATGGTTTGCCAACTATCAAGGTGGAGAGCACACCTGCAGCTGGAGTACAAAGGCCCCTTTAACTGCTTGCTGCTCTGTCCCCTCCCTCTTTCTCAGCACATAAATATTCCAGTCTAGCTGACTCACAGCTGGGTGGATAAGGAAGTTTCACAGGCACAGACTGGCTGGCAAAGCTAACACGCACTGCTGAAAGGAAAACAGAGAGGAGAGAATCTTGGAAGAAAAGTGGCCATGAACCTGATTCCAAGTTTTTCCACAGAAACCTGGGTCCTCCTGGCTACCAGCCTGGTGCTTCTCTATCTGTGAGTTACTGTCCAGGCTCATGACCTCTGTAATTTTGGGTCTTATCTACTTTTTTGTTTGTTTTAAAATGTTTTTTTAATTGATTTTTTAGAAACATAGATGTGAGAGAGGAACATCAATCAGCTGCCTCCTGCATGTCCCCTACTGGAGATAGAGCCCACAACTCGTGCATGTGCCCTGACAGGGGATTGAACTGGGACCTCTCAGTCCCTGGAAGGATGCTCAATCCACTGAGCCACACTAGCCAGGGTGGGCCATATCTGTTTAAAAGATTCCACAGTTAATGAAGGGGAAGTTGCTTAAGGGTTGGGGGCTACAAACACCAAAGGGGTTATTGATTTTACCCCGATCTGTTGAAAGAGTAATGCCCTATCTGTTCCCAACTCCCAATTTTTGTAGTTCAGAGGGTTTGGTGACATTACTTGCTCCTGAGGGTGGCTTTCTGATGTACTGAAAGTGTGGGTTGACCTAGACAAATTAGCCATAATTCAGCAGAGGCAGTTTAAAAACAACTGGCTTCTGTGCAGTGAGGTCCTTACCCTTTTCCCAGCTTGGGGATCCTGGAGGCAGAAGTAGCCTGGAGTTTTGTCTCATTACCATCCCTTCTGAGTTCTGTGTCTGCTTCAAGAAATGTATGAAAAGATTGGCCTCCATGTTACTAGGTTTGTTTCTGTTCTGCTCCCTCCCCCCTGCCAGCATAATTGACACCATGCATCACAGTGCACCCCAGACTTCATGATGGCTGGAGACTGCTCCCCCTTCTCTTTCCACTAGCTCTTCCATCTATTTTGCATCTCTTCCCTAATACTCTCCTACTAAGACTCAGTTCCCACACTCTGTAATAGAACTATTACCCCTAAATGAGAAAACTTTAGAGCAGAAGAAACCTAGCAGAAATCTTAGTGGTCTTGGTTGTAGGTCGTTGCTTTTCATCACTTTGAATATCGCTTGCTACTCCTTTCTGGCCTGCAAAGTTTCTTTTGAGAAATTAGGTGACAGTCTTATGGGAATTCCTTTGTAGGTAATGAACTTCTTTTCTCTTGCTGCTTTTAAGATTCTCTCTTTGTATTTAACCTTTGGCATTTTGATGATGATGTGTCTTGGTGTGGAGCTCTTTGGGTTCATCTCGTTTGGGACTATCTGTGCTTCCTGGACTTGTATGTCTGTTTCCTTCACAAAGTTAGGCAAGTTTTCTGTCATTACTATTTCAAATAGGTTTTCAATTTCTTGTTCTCTCTCTCCTTCTTCTGGATGCAAATGTTGGTACGCTTGAAATTGTCCTAAAGGTTCCTTACACTAACCTCATATTTTTGTACTCTTTTTTTTTTTCTTTTTGCTGTTCTGATCAGGTGTTTTTTGCTTCCTTATATTTCAAATTGTGGGTTTGCTTCTTGGATTTACCTACTCTACTATTGATTGCCTGTAAATTATTCTTTATTTCAGTTAATGCATCCTTCATTTCTGACTAGTCCTTTTTGATGTTGTTGATGTTCTCACTAAGTTCTTTGGAGCTCTCCTTAAGTTTCTTGAAGGCCTCACTAAGTTCCTTGAATGTCTCACTAAGTTCCTTGAGCAACCTTATAACCAGTGTTTTGAACTCTATATCTAATTGATTGCTTATCTTCATTTTGTTTAATTCTTTTCCTGTAGTTTTGTTCTTTTCTTTCATTTGGGATACATTTCTTTGTCTCCTCATTTTGGTTGCTTCACTGTGATTGCTTCTATGTATTAGATAGAGTTGCTATGTCTCCTAGGCTTCATGGGGTGGCCTATTGTTCTAGGTTTCCTGTAGGATCCAGTGACACAGCCTATCTGATCACCCAGCTTGGCCTTCAAGGTGCACCCCTAGTGTGGACTGTACACCTTTCTGTTGTAATCGAGTCTTGATTGCTGTTGGCAGGTCAATGGGAGGGATTTACTCAAGCTGATCAGCTGCAAGGACTGGCTGCGCCCACTGACCACTGGCCTCTGTCTACCTTGGAGGATCAGCTGTGTAGGGGCCAACCACACAGAGCAAGAGTTACTTCATCAGGGCTCTGGTACCCACTGAGTTCGCTCATTGAGTGTGTCACTTGTGAAGGTGGTTGGGTGGTGGTCTGAAACTGTCCACTCGGTGTGCTGGCTCTGGCATAAGTTCAGTCACTGCCTATGTTCTATCTGGGACCACCAGGCATAAACTACAAAGTGATCTGCAGATAGCTGCTTCTTGTGCTGGGCTTTGAGGTGCCCAGGAAAAGCCAAGTTGTGAATCAAGGCTCACTGTTTCTAGTGACATGCCTGGTACCACTTAATGAGAGGTATGAGGCTCGCTGAGAGCAGATGCTGCTTGTTTGAGAGACTTTAGGAAACCCTGAAACAGGATCCAAGACAGGCCAATCCTATGGTAAAGCCTTTGGAAACAGCTTGGGTGGACCCGAAAGTTTGATGAGGCAGGGCCTCAGGGAATCACAGGATGAGTCAAACAGTGTAAACTAGGTTGCAGGAGTCCCAGATATGGCAGCTCTCTGCTGCCCCAAGCAAGGGCTCACCAAAGGAACAAAGGCCTCTGACAGCACGTTTGTCCCCGAGGAAGCCCCCTCTCCAGCTCTCGCTCCAGTGCCAAACAGCTCAGTTCTTCCCTGTGTGTCTCTGGTGCCCCTCGAGCTGCCTCCCCTCCGAGCTTAGAGGGAGAGAGTCCAGTAAGTCCGTGCGCGGGCCCTTTAAGGAGCTTCCTGGGGCTCCAGCCGCTTCAGCTTCCCTGAGCCTCAGTTCCCGCTGGTTTTTCCAACCAGAAGTGATGGGGATTCTCTTCCTGGCACTGGAACCCTGAACGGGACACCTGGTGTGGGACGGGGACCCCTCAGTCCTCAGGAAGGACCTTCCCAGCCGCAGGATCCTCCTGATTTTTATCCACCACGCTTGGGTGTGGGACCAGCCCGTCTCGCCGCTGCGCGCTCTGCTGCCGCTGCGCCGCCGCCCCCCCTCGCGCCGCCGCCCCTCCTACCGGTCTGGATGTAGCTGCTTTTTTTTTTCCTTAGTTCCGTAGTTGTACGACTTCCATTCAGCTTGATTTCAGGCGGTTTTGAATGATGGTTGTTCTGTAGTTTAGTTGTAACTTTGATGTGGTTGTGGGAGGACGCGATACCGCGTTTACCTACGCCACCATCTTGACCGGAAGTCTAGTTGTAATTTTGATGTGGTTGGGGGAGGAGGCGATATCGCGTTTACCTATGCAGCCATCTTGACCAGAAGCCCAAGATTTTGTGTCTTTTATGATAAGAAAGGAATTCTGGATGGAGTCAGAGAATATTTCTCAGATATCCTGGTCCTGTGCCCATAGGAGGTCACTCACAGGCAGCAGGGTAGACATCTCATCTGCTTGAAGCCTGGGGATAGGGACGCCATCTAAGTCGCACTGTGTAGTCTGTATGCCAGTTAATTAGTTACTAGATATTGTCACCACTAGAAAAACAATACTAGCCTTAGAGAACACTGGTACAGCCAGGAGTCAGTAGCTATAGACTAGACAATGCTCTGTATGGCAACACAGTGCAAATGCAATAAAAATGATTGGCTTTAATGTTAGCCCGTACATTTGCACCCAAAGCAGCATTTCTCTACCCAAAAGAGAAAGCTGGAAAGAAAAATTCATTTAGCCCACTCTCTGCCTTGTAAGTTTATGGAAGTATGTGAGTTTAGGCACTAGAACAGATCACTCAGTGTGATCAATTGCTTGGCCTAACTTGAGGGTTCATGTAACATGCTGAAAGTTTAAAAGCAGAAATGGGTTTAACTGATTTTCCATGGTTGCCATGGCAAAGAAGGAATTGGGGTGAGACTAACCAAGGGTACCTCAAGTTTTGATAGTGCACACAACTGAACCAAATGTCTAGAGGAAGGATACAAATACCCATGTGGGCCTGGCCCAGATGTCTCCACTGTCCTTCAGCACAAGTCCTTTCATTCATCTTCTGGATTTATTTTTCACATATAAGATTTGCTGGGGTTGTACAAAATAATTGGAACCAGTACTTTCTTTAAGGTTAACCTCCAAAGAAGAGGAGACATGGGTAATTCAACTTTCTGGAACATTTCATGGATGCTCATTTTATGTTGCCGAGCACATCTTTTCCTACCAACAGGAAGGCACTGAGTTTGAAAGGCCCCATTTTAGCTGAAAGTGCTTGTAGGGTGTTGAACCATTATACAGAGCCTACTTTTCAGCCATACTTTTCTAATTTGCCTCTATGGGGTGAGCCTAGTTGGCCTAGTAACTTACTCCTTAAAATGGTGCCAGTAGCCTGTTTCCTCAGCCTCTCTTCGTCCTCCACTCTTCATCCCTCAGTAACACTAGAGTGGGAAGGTTTGCAAGGATCCAGAATCCACAGTTGAAAAACTCCACACATGACACCTGAAAGATCAACTACAGGCAGACCTACCATAGGAAGGCAGTACTGGCATTAATGGGGTTTTGAGATAGTTAACATGCAGAGGCAGTAAACTGTTTTGTGAGTGACAGCTTAGAAAATGAGTGAGCCTGGCACTGTGAGCATCACAGGTTGGAGAACCAGATGCCATGAGGGGAAGAATGATCTGGAAATGGATTCTTTATTTAGTGGTTCCTTTGTACAGTTTTATTCAAGAAACATGTGGGTTGATCACTCTTCTATAGAGCTCAAGGTAACCAAATTGCCTGATAAGGCAGACCTGGGTGTAGCCGAAAGGCACTCACATTTCTGTGATGCCAATGAAAGCCCTGCACACAGTTTTAATTCTGTAGAAATAAGTACACTGAGGCTATTCCAAGGCCTCTTTATGATGAGATGTTTAAGAAGAACCAGAACCTGTACCAGGGTCAGGACATAGAGGGAAGGAAAAGCTTAAAATCACTGAGCAAACTAAGGACAATGTCTCAGTATGCTCACAGTAACTCTCTGTTGCTGAGGGCACAAAGTTAAGCAACATCTCATCACTGGAGCAGACTTCATTGTATGTGTGTTTACAGAATTAGACTCTCCAAAGTCATGAAAGAGTCAACTTCCTGAAAAACATGACTCAATTTTCTGGAAATATTCCTGCCAGAACCTCTCAAGAGCACTCCCCATTTGGAAACATTTATCAAGTATTCACTGTGTAATTGGGTCCATGAAGACTTCAGCTGCTTCTATTTAATCATTACTTTTTGTGGGTCTCACAGTGGAAGTGGGAAAAGAGGTGATGAGTGAATGTAACTATTGCTGTTGGAGTGGCTGTTATTATTTATCACCTACATGTTCATTCCCTAGCTTGACTATACCAGTTTTGACTCAGTGAGTGGCCAGCCCCAGCACCTATTCCATAAGTCTCATAACCTGGCTTTCTCTTCCACTTTAAAGATATGGAACCTATACACATGGACTTTTTAAGAAGCTGGGAATTCCTGGGCCGACACCCCTGCCTTTTTTTGGAACTCTTCTGCACTACCGTAAGGTGAGTGTTGTTTGAGCTTCTCCTTTTGATTCTCATGGTTACAGGTCACAGCTTAGTTCCACAGTGAAAGGGCCCTGCTCCAGGGGAAGTTCCGAGGTTTCACACTTTCCAGAAATGGCAGCACAGGCACCCAGCAAGGGCCAAGTTTACCCCAGGGCTCTATGTCAGCTGTTAGGAGCCTCAAGTTTGCCTCAGTGAGGTGGCAGAGCTCTCTGGCTGACTCAGCTCATGACTTGTTCCAACTTGTGAGGAAGATATAATCATACTTAGGATTAAGAGAAAGGCATGAATGGGGTGCCTGGTAGTGCCTCATGAAGTTGTATAGGATAGCATCATGCTTTCCTGTTCACACGATATACTCTGGGTAGCCTTTCTTCTTCTTCTTCTTCTTTTTTTCTTTATTGATTTTAGAGAGAGTGGAAGGAAGACGGAGAGAGAGATAGAAACATTGATGAGAGAGAATATTGATTGGCCACCTCCTGCATGCCCCTACCCCTGGGGACTTAGTCCACAATCTGGGCATGTGCCCTGACCGAGAATCGAACTGGTGACCTCTTGGTGCATGAGTGGACACTCAACCACTGAGCCACACCAGCCAGGGTGAATAGCCTTTCTTGATTCCTCCAGGGTAGCTTTGAAACTCCATTGTATTAGGCAGCACAAGTATTCACTATTGAGTAATGTGCACAATGTGTTTGAATTCTCTCAAGAATGACTAAATCCCCACGGTTATTTTCATGGCTCTAACTCACCCTTTGCTCCCCATGACCTTTTTGCCAGTTTGAGAGATGGAACATGAGCTGTGTGCTTGACTTCTCTGCCCCCAAAGGAGGCACCCTATGGCTGAGTGTGAGAGGGAGTGGGTGTAACTGAAACAGATGGTATTTGTCTATGGACTTCAGATAATTACTTACGCAAAATCACTAGATAGGAGATGATTTGACAGAATCATTAAACATTTATTTTATCTGAATGGAATGAACTCTGTAACAAATGGACTGTGAGTTTTGGCAAAGTCTTTGTAGTTGATCCAGCCCTGACCCCTGCACAGAGTGTTATGAGCTCACGTCCCTGGGCCAGCAGGGAGGGCCTTGCGGGCAGACTGCACTCTCAGATTCTATTCCTGCAGACCTCATGCTTGTACTCAGATTCTAATTTTCCAAGCTGAGATCTTCAGTGCCTCGGTTTGTTCAAGAAATCCCATATTCTTTTTTTTAAACTTTCGAATAGGCTATAATTTCCTTTCCCCTTTCCCAGATCAACTCTTTATAGGTTCTCCCCCAAACCCACATTTCTAGGACCTTCCTGTACATAGTTAAACATCAAATATCACAGCTGAAACTTAGCAACAGAAAGATATGTTTTTTATTTACAGAAATGAAAATACAGAGAAAGTGTTTCAATTTGCTCTGTCCTTCTGGAGTGTTGGCATCTCCCCATCTTTTCTATGATGAGCTGGAAAATGGGAAAGCGAGTCACTTCATTTAACCAACATACCTTAGACTTATTTAAATCTGCTAGACTAAAAGAGGTCACTGGTGTCTTAAACTTCCTAATTCTGCTAGGATTCTAGAGAGGCTAATGAAATAAATGAAAACGATGCTTGACCATGAGATCAAAGAATGCACAGGTCACTCTTCCTCTCCCTCAGCTACACTTTTGGAGTGTCTATGGAGGTCATAATTTCAGGGGTTATGCGATTTTAGAGGTAGAGTTTAGTACATTTAGATTAATCATCTAATTTTGTTTCTCCTTGCAGGGTTTTGGAAATTTTGACATGGACTGTTTTAAAAAGTATGGAAATATGTGGGGGTGAGTATTCAGGAAACTCCCATTGGATAGACTTCCTATTTTGATGAGGCCCCATGGTGCTGAGGACAAGCTCAGCTCAGAACCTCTTGGGATGAAGCCCCCTACTGTAAAGCTTCTGAAGGCGTGTCCTACCAGGACCCCAGATTTCATCAGGTGTCCAGGTCTGCATTCTGAATCAAGCTGGGGACTTGCAGGTTATCATACTCTCCAGACTTTGATGGCCTAGGGACTCCTGACATCACTTTCTGTCCAGTGTCTCATTATTCCCCTTCTCTCCATTTTGCTCCCTTAGGTCTCATTTAATGGGATGAAATGCATTATTCCAGACCCTTCTAACATATGCCTATTATAACCCATTTCCTACATAATTGACCATTAATTAAAAGCTAAAATGTTTAATTTTAAATCTGGATTTGTTATATCCTTTTGAAAAAGCACTGTGGGTATAGATAAACAGAATGGGAAACCACATCGCTCAGGTTTGTTTTTACTTCCTCCACAAGTATGGAGTCTGGATTAAAAACATTTTTTTTAAGCCAAGACTTCTCAATAGAGGTTTAGTTTATACAAGTATTGTTTTATCTACCCTATTCTATTGACTTAGAAGAGATGTAGGATATTTCTAAATCACACTGTTTCCTGGTGGGCTGATGGACTTGAGGATTTTGTCAAGTGGTCTCAGCCAGCTGCAGCAGCTGATCCCCTTCGGAGCTGCTTGAGGTGTGGTAAGAGCAGCAGGAGAGGTGTAAGGTAGTGCTTGTGTCCTAGAGCCAAGTGGAAGAAGGCTTTACTTCTCAGTACTTTTTCATCCTCTTTGAAATCCTCAGAAACCATAAGTTCTACTGAGTTGGCATGGTCCAGAAAGGCTATGTGATAGAGAAGAAAGAACACATAGCAGCAGGTCCCCACTCACCCAGGTCCCACTGCCCTTCCAACACTGACTACCTGTGAGCTCTGGATGGAGTCACTTTCTTTCTTTACAAAATGGTTCTCATGCTTGGGTGTGTATAAGAACCCCCTTAGAGAGCTTGTTAAGTATATAGATTCTTGGGGCCTACCCTCCAGCAACACCAAATCTGGGTAATCTGGACTGGGACTCATGAATCTGAATGTTGCCTGGTAGTGTAACAAACTCTAAGGCTGGTGTGAGATCATAAATGTGAAGGGTTACCCAAAACCTTGTTTCTCTCCACCCAGGTGTTTTTTTGTTGTTGTTTGTTTGTTTGCTTTGTTTTGTTTTGTTTTTGCGTGTGTGTGTGTGTGTATTTTAATCCTCACCTGAGGATATTTGTCCATTTATCTTCAGATAGAGTGGGAGGGAGGGAGAGAGAGGAATAGAGAGAGAAACATTGACGTGGGAGGGACACATGGACTAGTTGCCTCCTGCACGACACCGACCAGGGCCAGAGATGAACTGCAATCAAGGTATGTGCCCTTGACCAGAATTGAACCCGTGATTCATTGGTCCGCGAGCCATGCTCTAACAGCTGAGCCAAACTGGCCAGGGCCACCCAGGTGTTTTTGTAAACCACAATGGGGAGAAGGGAATCATCCAAGAAATGATCAATTGAACAACCTAAGTGCCACTCCAGTTACTTATGTCACTGCTTCAACACTAAATGTACTCGTCACCCACTTAAACCTGAGTTTCAGAAGATTTTTTGGAAATAGGCAGCATTAAGTGCAGTGGTTCTCATCCAAATATATGTGTGATCACAAGACTGTTTGAAATTCCTTTGAGAAATAAAAAGAAATAGATAAAACTTGTCGAAAATCTTCCATTTTGTTCTAGTTAATGCCAATGCTTTTTAGTGAAAAATAAAATTCCAGAGTACAGTGTTACTAAACTTACAGTAAACCTCATGGAATTCAACTTATAGTAAAGCAGTCAGGAGATAGGCCAAATTGGGAGGTATCAGAAATGGTTGGCTTTGTGTGGTATGTGTGTCAAAAGTGGGCTTGCCCTGCTGCTGGCTGATGTCACCGACATGGAGCCCAAGGCCCACATAGGACCCACGTATACAAAAATATAAGTAATGAAAAAATATATATTTTAAAAATAAATTGTACATGCTCCTTTGAATCTTTTATTTTTTGTCCTCTGTTTTAAATGTTTCTAAACTTGATTCTACTAAGGATTTCTCTTTAACAGTTCAAATACTTCCTTTAAGCAATTGTAAACTAGCAAACAAATTTTAGAAAATAGGGCAAAGAAATCATTCATATTCTTACTATCTATTTTTTAACATTCCAAGTCTTTTTTGTTTGCAGACACATTTTTCCATATTTGTGTTCAGTATGTTTATACTTTTCATCTAATATGTTATATGCATTTTTTAATGTTTTTTATGTATCTTCAAAACTATATTTTTAAGTACGTGAATGAGTGGACTCTTCTTATTTTTCATCTGTTCTCAGATAATTTACTTGCCTTTATCTACTTGTTAACTTAACTTTCTTTTTGATAATAAAATATTTTAAACATACAAAAAATTATAAAGAATGGTATAGGAAATTTCCACGTACACAGCACCTGGATTTACATGTTATAATGTTATTTCTAGCAACAATCTCTATAAATATAGATTATGTAGCATCAGAATGGAAGTCTGGACTCCCAGGAGTGACTCAGCTGCAGAAACTGTCTTGTTCAATTTAACCAGCTCCGTTTTCCCACACAGGTTCTATGATGGTCAGCAGCCTATGTTGGCGATCACCGATCCAGACATGATCAAAGCAGTCCTGGTGAAAGAATGTTATACTGTCTTCACAAATCGGCGGGTAGGCATCTATTCTTTTACAAATTAAATAGATATTTATTTGTTATTTTTAATATTGAAATAATAATAGATTAAAAGGAAGTTACCCAAAACAATTCAGGAATATCCCCCTTTCATTCTGTTTTCTCCAATAGTAATATCTTATATAACTATAGTACAATATCTAAGCAAGAAATTGACATTGGTACTGTATCTACAGAGGTTATTCAGATTTCATAATTTAAAAAATATTTTTATTGATTTTTTAAGAGAGAGAGAAACATCATGAGAGAAACATTGATCGGCTGCCTCCTGCAGCCTACCCCACCCCCACCCCCCTCCGGGGATCGAGCCCCCCAACCCTGGTATGTGCTCTGACCAGAATTGAACCAGGACTTCTCAGTCCATGAGACGATACTCCACTGAACCATACCAGCCAGGCAGATTTCATAATTTTTATGTGTACTCATTTGATGTGTGTTTCTTATAAAAATTTATCATTTTGTTACCACCAAAACGAAGACACAGAACTGTCTCATTACCATAAGGCTCCCTCTTACTATACTTTTATAGTCACAGTGTGTAGGTTGTCTTTTATCAGAGTCTTTAGCAGAGCAAATATATTTTTAATATTGATGAAGCTAATTTATCAATTTTTGTATAGGTTGTCCCTTTGGTGCCAATTCTGAAAACTCTTCACTTAGCCCTAGGTATAAAAAATTTTCCCTTATTTTTCTACACATTATATATTTTTATGTTTTACATTTAAGCCCATGATTCATTTTGTGTTAATATTTGTATAAGGTGGGAAGTGTAGGTCAAGGTTCTTTTTCTCCCCTCTCTGAATGTCTGATTGCTGCAGTACCATTTGTGAAGAGGCTATCCTTCCTCCTTTGTCAAAAATAGTTGGGCCTATTTGTGTGGATCTGTTTTTCATTCTCTGTTTTGTTCATTGATTTATATATCTATTCTCCATCAGTATCACACAGTCTTGATGACTATAGCTATATTGTAAGTCTTAGCATGTAGAATGATTCCTCCCACTTTTTTTCAGAATTGTTTTAGCTATTGTATGTCGTTTGCCTGTTCATATGAGTTTAGAATAAACTTATCTATATTTACAAATAAATTCCTAGAATTTTGATAAGAATTTAAGTTAATGTTATAATTAATTTGGAGAAAGTCTATATTGTTACTAGGTTAAGTCTTTCAATCCATGAACACAATATGTCTCTCCATTTATTTAGTTTTTCTTTAAGTCCTTTCACCAATATTTCACAGTTCTCAGCATGGAAATCCTATACATGTTTTGATAAATTTTCACCTAAAATATTTCATTTTCTTTGGAGTGATTGTAAATGGTATTGTGTTTTCAAATATTTATAGTTATTTTATAAAAATATAGTTGATTTTTATGTTGATCTTGTATTCTACAACCTGCTGAGCTCATTTATTAAATCTAGAGATTTTCTTTTTATATTCCTTGAGATTTTCTGCATTGACAATTGTCACCTAAAAATAGAGACACTTCTATTTTTATTTTCTTTCCAGTATGTATGCCTTTTATTTCTTCTTTTGTTTTTTTTTTTTGTCTTCTTTCTAGCTAGGTCTTCCAGTATGATGTTATATAAGAGTGGTGTGCCCTAGTTGGTTTTGCTCAGTGGTTAGAGCGTCGGCCCATGTACCAAAGAGTAGCGGGTTCAATTCTGGTCAAGGGCACGTACCTCAGTTGTGATTCAGTCCCCAGCCCTGGTCGGGGTTGTGTGGGAGGCAACCAATGTGTCTCTCTCACGCTGATGTTTCTCTCCCTCCCTCCCATTCTATCTGAAGATAAATGGAAAAATATCTTCGGGTGAGAATTTAAAAAAAGAGAGAGAGAGTTGTGAGTAGAGATTTTTACCTTGTTCCTGAGTTTAGGAGGAAGCATTCAGTTTTCACCATTTAAAATTTTTTATATTTATTTTGGAAAAATAAAATGTATGTATTTCAGTGTGTAATGTGACATTTTAATATATACATGCATTGTAAAATGATTCCTATAAGGGAATTGAAATACATTCATCACCTCTCATAGTTACTTTTTCTTGGTGTGCAGTAAGAACACTTAAGATCTACTCACACTGTCTTAGCAAACTTTAAGTACACAATACAGTATTATTAACTGCAATACAGTCACCATGCTGTACATTACATCTTCAGAACTTATACATCTTATAACTAAAAGTTTGTAACCTTTGATTATTATCTTCCTTTCCTCCTTCCCAGGCTCTGATAACTAATATTCTATTCTGTGTTACTCTGAGTTTATTTTATTTTATTTTATTTTTAGATTTCACATATAAGTGAGATCATATGATATTTGTTTTTCTGTGTCTGACTTAATTCACTTAGCATGTTGTCCTCCAAATTTATGCATGTTGTCACAAATGGCAGGATTTCCTCCTTTTGAAAGGCTGAATAAAATTCCATTATATATATATATATATATATATATATATATATATATATATATTACATTTTCTTTATCCAGTCATCTGCCCAGTTACACAGAAAGCAATTATTGCTAGATAAGGATTTAATATTGCCATTTTGTTAATCCAGGTATGTCACAGGTCCTTTGTTCCTTCTTCCTCTCCTCTTCCACTTTTGGGGGTGGGGGGAAGATTTGATGATTTTCTGTAGTAGTGTGCTTTGATTCCTTTCTTTCTCTTTTCTATATCTACCATAAGTTTTTGTTTTGTAGTTACCATGAGGCTTAAATGAAATGTTGTCTAGATATAACCATCTATTTTAAGATGATAACTTAACTTTGCTCATATTTAAAATTAAGTACTTTTTCTGTCCCCGTTTTATGTTTTTGATGCTATTATTTGCATATTCTTATATTGTTGATCCATTAACAAGTTAGCTATAGTTATTTTTTTATTTTTTAACTTTTATTTATTTTTATTAATTAATTTACTTTTGTTACAGATAGTTCTCCTTTTTCCCACACTGATTCCCCTTTTCTTCTCCCTCCCCACCCTGTCCCCAGCTTTGCTGCCCATGTCCATTGTTCATGCATATATGCTTGTAAGTTCTGAGGTTTATCTCTCCCCCCCACCCCCTCTTCTGCAGATGATCAGTCTGTACCCCACTTCCACGTGTCTGGGACTACCCCATTCCTCAGACTGTTATGTTCATTATATTCCACAAAAAAGTGAGATCATATAATACTTGTCTTTCTCTCTTTGGCTTGTTTTGCTTAAGATAATACTTTCCAGGTCCCTCCATGTCATCTCAAAGAATAAGAGATCTTTCTTTGTTATAGCTGCGTAGTACTCCATTGTGTATATGTACCACAGATTTTATATCCATTCGTCTACTGATGGACATTTGGGCTTTTCCAGATCTTAGCTATTGTAAATAGTGCTACTACAAACATGGGGGTACATTTATTCTTTCTGATTGGTGTATCAGGCTTCTTAGGGTATATTCCTAAAATAAAAGATAAAAATCATATGATCATGTCAACAGATGCTGAAAAAGTATTCGACAAAATCCAGCACCCATTTCTGATAAAAATGCTCAGCAATATGGGAATAAAGGGATTATATCTTGACATAATAAAGGCCATATATGAAAGACCTATAGCCAACATCATACCCAATGGGCAAAAATTAAAAGCATTTCCCTTATGAACAGGAACAAGACAAGGATGCCCACTATTACCACTCTTATTTAACATAGTACTGGAAGTCTTAGCCACAGCAATCAGACAGGAAGAAAAAATAAAAGTGATCCAAATGGGAAAGGAGGAAGTGAAACTGTCATTATTCGCAGATGACATGATACTATACGTAGAAAACCCCAAAGACTCCATCAAAAATCTACTAGAGTTAATAAATGAATTTGGCAAAGTAGCAGGATACAAAATTAACGTCAAGAAATCAACGGCATACTTATTATACACCAATTATGAACTCACAGAGAAACTAAAAAAAAATTCCATTTACCATTTCAGCAAAAAAATTAAGATACCTAGGAATAAACTTAACCAAAAAAATAAAGTACCTATTCACAGAAAACTACAGGACATTGAAAAAAGAAATAGAGGAAAATATAAAAAAAAGTGGAAGCACATACGTTGTTCATGGATTGGAAGAATTAACATCATTAAAATGTCCATATTACCCAAATAATCTATAGATTCAATGCAATCCCCATCAAAATACCAATGACATACTTCACAGAACTTCAACAAATACTTCAAAATATCATCTGTTGTAAAAAAAAAAAAAGTTCATATGGAACCAAAAAAGACCTCAAATAGCCACAGCAATCTTGAAAAAGAAGAACAAAGTAGGAGAGATCACATTACCAGATTTCAGGTTATACTACAAAGCCACCATAATCAAAACAGCCTGGTACTGGCACAAGAACAGGTAGGTAGACCAGTGGAACAGAACAGAGAACCCAGAAATGGACCCTAGGCAATATGCTCAATTAATATTTGACAAAGGAGGCAAGAGCATACAGTGGAGTAAAAACTTTTATTTTTTAAATAAGTTTTTTTTTTAATTTTTCAATTACTTTTGACATATATTATATTAGTTTCAGGTGTACAACACTGATTAGACTATCAAAGTGATCACCTGATAAATCTAGTACCCATCTGACACCATACATAGTTATTACAATATTGTTTACTGTATTCCCTATGTTATACTTTACATACCCAAGACTTTTGTGTAACTACCAATTTGCATTTTTTAATCCTTTTACTTTTTCACCCATCCCTTTTCACCCATCCCTCTAACCCTACTCCCATCTGGAAACTGTCAAAATGTTTTCATATCACTTTGGCCAATTTGGCTCAGCAGTTAGAGCATCAGCCTGTGGTCCAGAGAGACCCGGATTCAGTTCCTGCTGAGGGTGCGTGCCTTAGATGCAGTTTGTCCTTGGCCCTGGTTTGGTCGTGCGGGAGGTGGTCACTCAATGCATCCCTTTCACATCAATGTTTCTGTCTCTCTCTCTCCCTCC